AACTCAATAAAACAAAGTATTTAATTACAAAAGTTTTTAGTTGCTTCTATGAATAAGAACAATATTGTCTGAAAACAAAAGATCTTTTCGATGAAGAATGACTGTTTACAACAATTACCATTTTTTTAATACAATTTGCACTTTCTACATTAAAGTTGTAAAATATTTTAAAATTAGTGAAAAAAGCTGTTTTTTTAGATAATGGTGTTATTAAATAGATATTTCTTTACAGATCATAAATTATAAAGCTTATTAAAATCTGCAAAATATCAGTATGTACAAAATTGAATATAACATTGTTTTTGTGTCTATAAAAATCATTTATTTCAAATGTACGGAAGACAGTACAAAGCATGACAAAAATCAAGTGGTTTCAGAGTTGTTTTCCCCTTACAGACACTTACATTTCTTCACAAAATAACCCAGAGAAGAAATTCATCTGATTTTATCTGTGCTTAAAACTAAAAAAATCTAGTGAATGCGTAGCATGGTAGATTATTATAGCACTACATTCTCTCTATGATTCAGTGATAAATATCTTCAGGTGATTTCACTGAAGGAATTCATCAAACAACAACGATTACCATTGTCTGCAATACCAAGATTTAATTTTTATGCCTCTATTGTTACTTGACTGAAAAAAAAAAAAAAGTGTAAATGATTACATAATTAATAAAAAAAATCAGTTTCAATACTGTCATAAACAAAGAATAAAAAATATGGGATAAAAATTAACATTAAAAACATGTATAACATTTCAAATGAGAAAGATACCTACAATTATTAGCTACCTATTCTATAAAATTTATATAGTATTATTTTTGTATTATGTCAGTTATGACATTTTTCTGAGATATTTTAAAAATTAATAAATTGAGCATAAAATTAATACCTTAAAATTTCATGTGGACTTAAATTTATACTATAATTTTATGTACATTTCTTTTATAGTATTTAATTTTCCAGAAATTATCAACAGATGTAAGGTGAAAGCTACAGTATTTAAAAAAAAAACTTTTTTGAATAATTAAAAAATATTAGACTGAAAGTTTTTCTTACTTTAATAATTACGAGGTAAATAAGCTGCTTCACTTAAAACTAAAAAAGATTGTCACTTCTGCCCTTCTGTATGATTACTCAAATCTCACGTTAGCTGTCAATACATGATGAAATCATTACTCATCACTTGTCAATCATCACTTTTGTTAAGGCCTGCTTTCTCTTATTTTTAAACATTTTTTTCTGCAAAGAAAATTAATGTTTGTTTCAAAATTTATTAAATAAACTTTAATTTTTCTAATTTTCTTCAAATAGTTTTTGAAAAATGTATAATTGATTTTTGCAAGATTTTTAAACAGAATTTGATTTCTGTTTCCAAAATCCTAAAAAGGATTTTGGAAACAGAAATCAAATTTCAATGGCTGAAAATCACTAATCTCACTGACTCAAAAAAAAACAATTTTTAAGTAAAATTTTGGATGTGCTAAGAATGAGTAAAAAAAATTAAAAAAAAAATACTTTGGTCTTCTTAATAACAAATATTAAGACAATAAAAAATTTTTTTCATGAAGTTTTAAGGCCATTCTTATTATATTATGCTCTTTTTTTATCGATTTCATGAAGGTACCTATATATATATATATATATATATATATATATATATATATATATATATACACACACACTGGTTGGAGGTTATCATATTTGAATTGTCACTTTTAACCCATACTAAAAAAATAATTGTAGCTGTTTCATGCATAATAAATTAAAGTTAAAACAGAAGTCCTAATGTATGTACACATGTAATATGCTTTGATCATTATGAGATTGAATTAAAAGGTTGATTTGAATCTTGGAGAATTATTTGGATATTCTGCATTTCCTGAAAGAAAGCATTGATTTTTTTTTCTAAGTGGGGATATTGAAAAGTTCTGACCAAGGATCAATACCCTGCCACAAAAATCTAGATTCAGTTTGATTTTGGGGAGTGAGTGCAAATGGTGCTGTTAGCAAATCAAACTGATTACAACTTCAGTTTAAAAAGTGCATATAAATTTAAGTGAAGATGGCAATGGAGAACAACTCTGCTTCCTTTCTCAAGAAGCCATGACAACTCACTGATAAAAAGTAATCTGTTGAGGGCTCTGATCTCCCATATTCTGAATGGATATGGAATTAAATATATATAAATTTAAAGAATTGATATCTGAGGATTCTATATTGCATTGTCTGTGAAAATGCACTTTCCTTAAGAATGGCTGCTATTAAATCATCATCCAATAATGTACTGAAATTTTCTTTTTAATTGTTCCATTTGTCATATTTTCATTCTTTAGTGTAGTTTCCAATCATTTCAGCTTTAATTTAGGCTGACTGATGTGTGAATCCAAAAGTGGATATTAGCTTGTGTTATGTTTTTAAATAGGGACTATTTTTTTTTTTTTAAATTGTAAATGGATTGTTGATAACATGTCTAATTATTTGACCAATAACTTATTTGTATATTCCTTTTATTGTGGAGTGTTTTTTATATTAATCACTTGGCTGTGTGCTGTATGCTGTGTTACATGATCCTTTCTATACTTTTTATATTTATTTAGAATATATTTCATTACTGGCATAGCTATTTAAATTACTTATGGAAATAAACTTGCATAGTTTATGCATGCCATTTTAAAATTTATAGGTTGAATTGAAACTCATGTTTGTGGTTTGTTTGACAGTATTGCAAGAATGGTGGATGATTTTATTTTATGTGCTCATCAGTAGTATATATAATATTAGATGAAGTTAATGTCATTTATGAAATAGCAATATTGGGACCAGGCTGCTGGAAAAATGTGTATGCGTGTATATGTCATTCCTAAAATAAATGAATTCATGAAAAATAAATTTAATTGATTTGCATATGAATTTTGTTTTAATGTTTCATTGTCACAAACGTAATCAATTTAAAATTTGTATTATATACAAAAAAAATTAATTATTGTGATGACAGTATTTTAGATAACAATAACCAGCTGATAACATTAAGCAAATTGAGTAATTTATATTGCTTGTTATTAAATTAATTGTTGTAAACAACTTTAAACAATTTTAAATAAAATGTTTGGAACCAGCTGAATAATAACTATTTACTAAAATTAACTGTGAATATAATAAAAAAGCTCTTTTTGTGTGTGTGTGTGTGTGTGTACATGCACAATCATACACAAGGATGCACTCACCAAGAAGCTTTTTTAAAAAAAAATTGATATTTGGTTAGATTTTTCAGAAGTGGATTATCAGGGCAACTGGTTTTTGTTGCTATTGCTCAGACAGGTAAGTTAGTTTTAGGAGAGTGGTTTGCTCTGTTAAATGTTGTAACACACTGGTGATGGAACTGTGCAGGGAGAAGGAGTCTTTGCTAAAGCTATTAGCGTAAAGTGAACATAAACATGTTTAACCTAAATTCCAATTTGGTTCATTAATTTCATAAAATAAGAGAAACTGCAAATGTTTTTGATTATAATGTGGATTTGTTTTAGTGTATATATTATATTTTATCCTTCATACTTTTGCTACATGTGTTTCTGGTCTTTTGAGCTTTTTCAGGCAAATTAAAAGAATCAATTTTTAAAGGAATAAAATTTCCTTATATTCCTTTTAATGTTTCATTGTTCATTTTCTGTATTTGTAGTGAGTCTTGATCTCAGTTTTTTCGATTGTTGGCAAAAGTGAATTTCTGCCTTAGTGGTATTAAAATCATTATGTTTGGTCTTAGTGGTTAGGATAATAGTATACAATAGTATAAAATAGTATAATTATATTATTGGAAAAAAAATAGGTACATTTTAAGAGGGAACACATAAGGATAAAGAAAAAAATAAGAGAAGCAAAAAGGTGACAGTGAAACAATAATGTTTGTTGAGGTGTTAAGTGATGGCTCGAACCCCCCACACCACCCCAATTTTTTTTTTTTTTTTTTCAAAGAAATAGAAAAAAAGGAAGTGTTGTTCCATGTACAACCTGCTTACAAACGAAATTGTCCATAACCATTTTGGTTCTCACCAGTCGAGGTGCAGCTAAATACACTGAAATGAAGTTGCATCTTTGTTGTGAGCAAATTGTTTTTGTCTATATGGAAAAATTATATATGTGTGTGTGTATGCTGATTCATGTGCAAGCTAGTGGGGACTAGTATGCACACACGATGCACAAAAATGGAAATATATTTGATAGTCTCGAGTGTGATGTGAGGATAGGGAGTCATCTATCATCAACACATCTGTCATTGCTACCACTAAGACCAAACATAATGATTTTAATACCACTAAGGCAGAAATTCACTTTTGCCAACAGTCGAAAAAACTGAGATCAAGGCTCACTACAAATACAGAAAATGAACAATGAAACATTAAAAGGAATATAAGGAAATTTTATTCCTTTAAAAATTGATTCTTTTAATTTGCCTGAAAAAGCTCAAAAGACCAGGAACACATGTAGCAAAAATATGAAGGATAAAATATAATATATACACTAAAACAAATCCACATTATAATCAAAAACATTTGCAGTTTCTCTCTTTTTTTAAAATATATATTTTTTCTCTTGTTGGAACAATTACAACCTTTTCCCCACATATATATATATATATATATATATATATATATATATATATATATATATATATATATAAAAAATATGATTCTTATGTAGCGTTGGAATCATATTTTTAAATAAATAATTATATTTATACTCTACTTTTGTATCAACCACTATTTTTTAAAAATAATAGCAAAAATACTAAAGAACTTTGGATTATTTACCTAATGAGTTCTTTTTCCTATTTTCTATATATTTTTACATTTTATATATATATATATATATATATATATATATATATATATATATATATATATATAGAAAGAAAAAGGCTGAAGGGGAGAGAAATAGATTTTTATTTTTGTCTCTGTGCCCCAATTTCTTTACTTATTGCAAATTTCTTCACTTCCCTACAGGTTGGTGTCATGTTGTGTGTGCACTGTTTATACCAGAAGCATGGTTTGCTAATGTGCAAACTATGGAACCCATTGTACTAAAGAATGTACCACAAGAACGGTTCAATAAGGTAAGAAAATGACAATAAATTAAAACATGAATGTAGCATTGTGTTCTTATGTGTCTGAGGGACATAATGAAATGATTTAATGGGAACTTGTGTCTATATTTATATGATTATTAGATTGTGTGTGTTTATTCAATTCATTTAAAAATATAAACCACTATCAAATTTATTTACAACATTTGAAGTTACGGTATAACAATATTACTAAGAAAGATTCCAGATTTTGATTTTGTTTGGACAGTTGAACTCTTTCCCTCTCATATACTTGTTATTGTTACTAGAATAACTTAAGAAATAGGATTTTTTTTTCTTTTTTTACAAATTATGCATATCAGCTGAAATGTAACAATATCAAGAACATGAAAGGATTTTGAATAAAATCTAGTTAGATATAGTTACAGACAATATGATGAAAGATTTTGACAGAAACTCTTTAACTTTAAGGAGTAAAAAATCATTTTTTACAAATTAGCCTTAATTTATAAATTGTAATCTGATTGTATATAGATTTCTTTTATAAACTAATGTTAGCAATAATTTTTTCCCATTTGCATATATATTACAAAATAAATTATTGACTAACTTTCATAATGTTTATTAGTAATTTTTAAGAAATTTGATTCTTAGATATTTAATATAGATGACCTTGTATGAAATTGATTGAATCAAGAGTTGGCAAAATGAATGCTTATAGCTAAATGCAACATCTTTTATACTCTTACTGTATCTTATCAATTGATTTAAAAAAGATCAATTTTTAAATCTGATTAACAAATCCAAATGGATTCAGAAGTTGGATTTCATGTTTATAACATTTTGATTTTTTTGTATATGAAATGTAAAACATTTTCCCAGCAGTGTGACTTGTTTTAATTTTATTTCATTTACTAATATATGTTTGATGTTGATTCATTAATTGAAAAGGTATACACCAGAACTATTTTATTTATGTAATTCATGAAATTAAATTTTTATTGCTTCATTATCAAATAATTAATTTTGAGAACTATTTTTTTTTTTTTAATTATTTTTACTTTTATTTTTAGTGTAGTTTAGAGCAGTTGTTTCTAAACTTAGGTAAACAAGTACATTCAGATTTCTAGTCTACATTTTAGACCTTTATTACCCATTGTTATTCTCCTGATGTATTGAATATGTTTTTATGCACAATATTTAATTAGAAAAGCATTAATTGCTTTTATAAATAAGATATATTATAGACACTATTGTCTTAAGAAAAATTTTTTTTTGATAAATAATGAATTTTTTCAAGAATTGTTTTCATTTTTAAAAGTAACTTGTAAAGTTAGCAGATACAGGAGTGACTGTGCTGTACCACTAAGCTTCAGATAATATGACCGATATTTACATAATAGATAATATGACCTATATTTCAGTGTCATGTAGGTGATACTCTTCAATAAACTCTTGTTGCAAAATGTGAATTTATTTGAAAACTCTTGCAAGTTCTTAGAAACTGCACTCGCTTATATACTTAAACATAATAATTGGGCTATTTATTTGAATAAATGTCTGAATTTAAACTGTAATTTCTTCAACATGAACAGTTAATAAATACTATTGAGAAATCATTGAATTTACTAAGTGAGTGATGTAAAAATCTTTTTTTTTTTTTTTTTTTCAAATAAATATTAGATTCTGTAAAAGGATATTTTTTATCTAGTATTATGAATAATTATTTTTATGTTTGTTATTACCTCCTCTTTCTTAACTATTTTTTCTTGGCTTTATGCTACTCTTTTATTTGCTGGATCTTGCACACTAATAAAAGACAAGATTTTATGATTATAATGATGTGGGAAAGAGAAGAGGAAAGAAAAAGAAATAATGAATAAAATTATTTCCTGCTTTATCTTTTCTTGTTATTGTGTTGAACAAGTATGACTCATCATCCAAGAGCGCATAACTCTTGCCTCCTTTTTGGAATGGCTGCAAGCAGAGATCAGATTTATGGTCCTCCATAACAGTGGGAGTTCCACTTAATTCTTTTGCTTTCTTTCTCTGATTGTCTCTTCAATAATAAAAGAAAGCATGTGGGGAATTGAGTTTGTTTAAAGGGATTTAATAACAATGAAAATTCTGTGTATAGAATGTAAATTTCTCTTTATCGTGAAGAAAAAATAAAAAATAGAAATTAATATTAAAAAAAAGTGTGTGAAAACAGTAGGAAATAAAATTGTGATATTCTCTCATTTTAACTCCTGGAACAACTTTTAAATGAAGCAGCCGGTATTTTCTTGTAAATATTTGTTACAACATTGGAAATAATTCTTCATGACTAACCAGCATAAAAATTGAATATAGCTCCTAAGACCTGATGTTATAAGCAAAAGAATATTGTGAATATGAAGATACTTGAAAATTTTGTGGATCAGTCGGTCCTAATTTAAAATTATAGATTTTATTTTTTTTAATGAATGAATGAACAAATTTAATGCAATTAATTAAATTCAATATGTAAGTTTAAATAACTTCTATTTAATAAAAAATTTAAAAAATCTTTCAATGTTTGATTATTTTTAATTTGATATATATATATATAAATCAAATAGCAATTGAAACTTAACTCAAACTTTAATGCACATTTAGAGTAAAGATATGTGTATAAAAATTATAGTCTTAAATAGCTTCATTTACTTTAGCTAACAGTTTCAAATCATTCCAGATTAGCTACTTGTATTTGTTATTGTTGAGTGATTATCTTTTCAGTAGTCAGATACATTATCTTTATTATTAGACTGAGATAAAGAGCTTATGACATAACTCCTCAACATTTTTTTTAATCTCTTACAAGATTTTTTCTTACATTAAACAATTTTCTTTAACCAAAATTTCAATCTCTCTTCATGTCTGTTATTAGCATATATCTGACTTCAACATTCCTTCTCAATTATTTTTTTTAACTTTATTCATCTTTTAATAGATTCATCATCTTTATTTTTGATGATTCTCTACCAGTTTCCTTAAACCCAATGCATCCATGTTCTATGATTAAACAGTTCTTCTTAGCTTTTTGATTGTTATAATTTTCATCATTGTCTATTCTTTTTCAGAAAGTTTGGAAACAATTATTTCAGCCAATCTCTACTGTTCCAAAGTGTTTGTGGCTTAATATTTAGAAATCCTGGACAAACAAAAATGCAAGAACCCAAATAAGTAATTTGAGGTCATTAAAAGAGTATTGCATGTAATTTTTAACTAAATGAAGTAATTTCATGCAAAATAGTGACTTTTTTTTTTTTTTAAATTTGAAATACAAATGTTTTTTGGCCCTTACAAAATGGTAAGGTGGATAGGGTCAACTTTTACCTGAGGTCTCTGGGGGAAGTAAAATTATTATATACTCTTTGAGATCTGTGAAACAGCTTCCTTTCTTGGAGAAAAATTGATATGTAGAGTAGTTTAGACTAGAAAAATGACAACACTAGTGGTGCTGTCCTTCAAGATCATTGGAGATTAGCAGTTATTTTTTTTATTTTTTTTTAGCCAGATGAAAGAATTTCACGGGCTAAAAAAAGATTTTTTCTCTTCGTAAAACTTTGCAACACTGAAAAACATTTCCAGACAAAATTCTAAAATTTTCAGCATTAAAGTTTATTTTATCTTTTTATTTTGACTATTCTTTGTGGAAAAAGAAAAAATCCAATAACTACTGGTGACTGAGCAACACAATTTTGCTCTAAAGTATGATGTAGCCAAAAAAATAAACTCATTTCTTGCAAAATATTCCTGGAGGGTGGGGTTCAGCTGTACAAGTCAGTTGACACAGTTCTAGACACTTCTAAGGTTGTTCAGAACTCATTTGAGTTCCTCAACACTATGCTGCATTATGTTACTTTAACAAACAGTTAAGAGGTCCATCTTGCTTTTCAGAAATGTTGACTCTTCAAAGTGATGCACTAGAATTGGCTAACTGACTAGTAGCTTCTCTTACATGTCTTTGCAACAATTATCCAAACTGGGATTAGGCAGATTGGTAAATGTGTTCATTACAAATATTTCATAATTCCAAATTACTTACCTTTTGTATTCACAGATGCTTGCTTCAACCTGACTTCTCCATGTTTTTCCTACAGCCAGCTGAGGAATACTATTTCATATTCCTTTTTTACCTTTGTGTATGTGTGTGGATTTGTCTTTATTGTTTCCCTGTCAGCAATTCTTTATTTGTTTTGTTCTTTCAGGTGTGCTACATTTGTGAGGAGCAAAGTCGTGAAAGTAAAGCTGCTACTGGGGCATGCATGCAATGTAATAAAAATGGATGCAAACAAAACTTCCATGTCACATGGTTAGTTATTTCATGTTTACTTTGTTGTTTTACCAGAATTACCACAATCAAATGGACAATAAAAAAAACAAAGTGTATTGCTATTTATGTGTAACTTTCATCTTTTATTGCTCCACTTAAAGTTTGTATTATATGGCGTTTTTGTTTGCCTTGATATTTTGTTTTTTAAGTGGTAATCAGATTGTAACTGTTTCAGTAGATATTTACATTTTGACTTAGTTTTATTTATATTTTAGAATTTGGTGTATTTTCTACTAATTGTGAAATTTATCTACTTTAAAATATGAACCTTTATAAATTATTATAATTAAAAAATTTTAAAAATGAAAACAATTCTTGAAAAAATTCATTATTTATCAAAAAAAAATTTTTCTTAAGACAATAGTGTCTATAATATATCTTATTTATAAAAGCAATTAATGCTTTTCTAATTAAATAATTTTTTGAGCAGATTTTCGGGAAATGAGTAATTGCTTGAAAAAAGAAATTATGATATACATTCTCCAAGGAGTCTTGTTTTAAATAATAATAAAAAATATTTTGCAATCAAAATTTAATTTCTCAAAATTTCATAAAATTAAATAAGTGTGGGTAACAGCTGTAAAAAAAAAAAAAAAAAAAAAAAAAAAAAATATTTTTACCAAGGTTTTCTAAAAAAAATATTTCAAAAATAATTTAATTCATTTGTGAATAAGTCCTGATAATCTCATTAAAATCTGACATTTGATTTTTGAAAGAATTTTCAAATCAGTGTGTTTCTTTTTTTTTTTTTTTTTTTACTGAAAGAAGCATGCTTAAATACATATAGTAATCTTTGGCCACTGCTGACACAAGAAAAAAAATTTAACCAAAATTTCAAACATGCTAGAAAGGATTAAAAAATTTAATAAAATAGTCAAAAAATACTTTGAGTTTTCCTCTTAATAATAACAAACATTTTTTTCATCATGCTATGCTCTTTTTTAGTGAAAAAGTAGAGGTACCTTTTTAATAGATATTTTAATAATATTTGAAATAGACTTTACAAACACTCTATATATGAAATGTCTTGAGTTTAAAATCATAAAGAAGTGCAGCATTTGTTAGTGCTGTGTCTACCCAGAGAATTGCTTGAATAAAATAATATAAATAAAAATATTGGTTATGTCTATATCAAATATCTAGAAACTCAGAACACTGAATGATTGTTGCATTGCCACATCTTCTGTGGCTCAAACTGGTGTTTGGCAAATTATGGTTGTTGCTTCACAGAGGCTTGCATCAGCAGTCTTCATGCCAATACACTAGAGTTGCACCGTCTCAGTTTCTCACTGAAAACCAAAAGCCATCATTTCACTCGGCAAAAGGTTTTTTTCTTGTAATGTAATTGTAAATGGTACAATATAATCTGCTCACTACCAAGCTAGCAACCACACTGAAGAATTTTGGAGAGAGGAATTCCCCTACCTCTCTAGGAAATCTTGACTTCTCACTATTTGCGGTTTGGTCATTTCATTCTTTTTTCTTTTAATAATTATCCTTAAATTATTGTCATTTATTCTACACCCATAATGTTACACAGTATTTAAATGAATTTCTTTTCCTATTTACCTTTAAACAAATAACAAACAAGATTACGGGATTCAGTGGCATTACCTTCAGAGAGCTAGTTGAATTTTGACTATGCCCACACATACATGTGAGGCCTCACATTAAACCTAATATTCTGTCAAATTTTGCTTCAAGAGGAGATTACTAAATCTGTATATTATGGGATTCATAATTATTGACAGACCCAAAAATATTTACATTTATCATTTAATTTTCTGTCCATTTATTTTCTTTTATCACATTAACTAAGACTAAAAAAATCTGTTCTGTGTTCTTTCTCTTTTTTTGTTGAATTAACGCATTTAACTGTGAGATGGTATTGTTAATATTTTCCTACTTTGAAGTCCAAAGATTGTACCACTTCAAATAATTTACACAGAATGAGCCAAGTTGAAATATTAGTATATAAGGTTTGCATTATAATGAACTAATGCACTCCTATGACTATTTAGTATAAAACTAATATTTTTCAGGCTGAAAACTTGCATTGGTATCTTTACTGCTGATGGGAAACTTAAGAAAAAAGTTAACATAATTATACTATAATCAAGCTAAATGCAAGGTGTGCATATGTATATAGATAAAAATTAATAAACTGTCTACTACATTGTCCATGAATATACAGAAGTTAACTGAAATCCTGAGTTTATTGTTGGTGGAAATTGGCCAAAGAATAAGTTACAATTTTATATATATATATATATATATATATATATATACACACATACATACTGAGAAGGTAGTTTTGACTGTCATGTGAAGAAAAATTATATTCATCAGTAAATTTTCTTTTATTAAGCAAATAATTGAAATGACTTGTTTTTGTGTTTATGGACATTTATACAATTTCTGGTACATTTAAGTCTTTAAATAATTTCCTCTTTCTCTTAAATTGCATTTTCAATCTTTTTTTCAGTAATGATTTTTAGACTATTTTATCTTTTTATTGGAAAAAAATCTTTTTTTGATATTTTAATGTTATTTTTCATAGAATTAATTTTTCCTTTTGACTCTTTTGAGATTTTCAGATACATAATATTGATTCAGTTGGTGAAAAACACACCAGTTTTTTGTATCCTAATACTAAGCAAGATTATTTCTATATTTATCAGCACTCTTTGCTCTTTTTTTTCTTTCTTTGTTTTAAAACTATCTAAACTTTTATTTCAGTGCCCAGGCGCAAGGTTTGCTGTGTGAAGAAGCTGGAAATTATGGTGATAATGTTAAATATTGTGGCTACTGTTTGTATCACTACAAGAAATTGGTGAGTTGTTACTACTGAGAGGTATAGCCTTTTGGATCACCAAATTGCTTGTTCGCCTGTGAGGTGGTGGCATTTCTTAGTGTGGATCTGCTCCATCTTCCCAAGTGTTTACATGTTTGTTATGTAACACGCAAAAGGTCCAGGCTTTAAATGAAAATGTTAGGCAAATATTGATTTTTCTCAAATTTAGATGTTGTGTCAAGGCATTAGTGGATAAAACCAATGCCATAAAAAATGTCACTGTGCAGTTTTTTGCACTGGTTCTTGAGTCCAAAAATAATTTGCATCTAATTTGTGAAATATGATTCTGTCAAGTTTTTTCCAGGTTCATATGGACTTTTAGAAATAAAGCTTGATGTTTGCTCAAATCTGTTTAGGGAAATGATCAAAATTCAACAAAAGAAAGTTGGCTGGGGCATCAATATATATTGGTCTTCATTGGTTGATTTCTCTTTTGGTAGTTGAGTTTACAGTTGTTTGGAATTAAGGTTAAATATTGTTTTCAAATGAACCAATTTAATAAAAAAAAAATTATCAAATAAAAAAAAATATTTTGCAACAATTTTATATAGATTTTTAAATAAATAATATGATCAAATATAGAAACTTTCATTTTGTCCACTTTATGACAAATGTACTGAATTGTTTCTTTCTAAATGATGCATATAAAACAAAGAATATTAGTCTAAAAGTGAGTTTATTCTGTGATAAAATAATTTATTTTTATACTATCCTAATTACCATCTACAATTATCACTTTCTGAAGGATAATAGATTTTAACTGAACAGAACAAAAAATTTTTTCTTTGATGGCTTCCAAAGCTGTATTTGTAGATTCAAAGAATGTTCACATTACAGAAAAAAAAAAAATTCCTCGATACTGGTATAAAATTAGTGTGTGCATGTATTTTCATGGCATTTTATGAAATAGGTAATTTTAATTTACTAAAGTATTAAATCACTATTTTATACTTAATCACATTATCATAAACCTATCTTTCAGTTTTAAATATATTTATGAAAGTGTCAACTTCATAATTGATACACTATTTACATTATTCGGACTATTGTCCTCATCTTTGTCGCCATATTTATCGCCATATTTATTACAATGTTCCAGAATGTCGAACTGAACTCTTTATTTCACTCACTGGGGTAGACTGTTCTAGTTCCACGTGTCATGTCTAATAGATGTCAGCTATCAGTTATCTCCTGTTAATTCCCCTCTCACAGTCTACCCCAGTAAGTGAAATAAAAGGTTCAGTTCAACATTCCAACCACCTGAAGAATGTTGGAGAATGCAACAGCCGAAATGTTGTAATCTATCTTGTAGAAAATTAATTTGAGCAAAATTGTCATTATATTAAAAAATATTGCAAATAGTGTGAAACCCAGGGTTACAAACTCACACCAATCCAACCGAATATATATATATATATATATATATATATACATACACCCATACATGTAAAAACATCTACCATAGCCATTTTAAAAATTTAATTTAATCTTTTTAAATATTAATTTCCCTTCAAAAGATAATTTGTTTACAATATTATAATAATAAATTATTTAATCTGGAAACATTTTTGACAGTATAATAAATAATCAGATTTGAAAATTAAATTTTGAATTCTTTCAATTCATTCAAGTTTGAAGTTTAATTTTATTTATGCTAGATTTAAATTTCATGATGTGAGAAAGTTTTATAGACTTTCAAATAATTGATTTTTTTTTTAAAACTCATCTTGTAGTTCATATTACAAGTATTTTGTAACAATTTAAAAATAAACACAAACCAATTACTTTTTTATCACACTTTACATTGTTTAATCACACAACTGTTAAAACTCAACAAACTATTATTCTCTTCTTTATTGTATTTTCTGTGTTCATGATTGTGAACTTTAATATGAAAGTGAATGAATGTTTTCTTTTAAAGGGAATTGTATAGGGTCCAAGCCAGTAAATGATGGTCAGATACAAGTAATATACTCTTTTGGTTATTTATGTATTAAACTTTTTCCTTTTTAAAAGTGATTCTCTGAATGTCTAATATGTTCCTTCAGATTGTATATGTCGGTTTTATTGATTCTAACCTTTGCAAATTTTGGGACTTTAATTTTGGCTATTAAATTCTTTCATTTATTTTTATTTTGTTTTTATAATGTTGAATTAAAGTTTCTATATTTATGGTGTTAAATAGAAAATGATTGAATACACTTTTAGACATATATGGCACTTCACATTTTTTTAAAAAATGTGATGAATTATTGGGTAGAATTTGTAGGTAAATTATTTGAGCTGTATTTGGTTGCAGACATGGAATTTCAAGTTCGGTGTTTTCATTAAAATAAAAAAAAACGTATATGGTTTTCTTCATTCATAAGTGAAAGTCCAGAAGATCAGCTTCATGAATTTTTTCATTTGTCTCTTATGAAGTTTAGAATATTGTCATTCAGATTTAAATTTTTTGGAGAAGTGTACCATCTATAAATGATTTACATCTGGACATTATTTTTGTGACTCACACAAATGGACAAAAGTCATTTCAGCTTCTGTATATTTTCACATTCATAGACAAAAATGATACAAATTGTTTGGGTTTTTGAGGTTTATCTGCTGTAATTCTGGACTTATTGGAAAATTGATGAGTTTTCAGTATAGTTTTCATTCTTTGGAAAAACCTGAATAGGCAGTAAATTATGTACTGTTTTTGTATATTGCCTAAATTAGACAAGTTTTAAAATTGTGTGTGTGTGTGTGTGTTCATGCATGTTTTGTTATAAACATGCCTCATCATTTGTACTATAGAATAAGTAAATCTCTTTTGGTAAATTTTAAAATTGAAATATCATTGCTAATTTGTATTGTTGATTCAAACAGAATTTAGTAGAATTGAGCAATGAAAATAGATGGTTTGGGGTTAGCTAGAAGTTAAGACTGTCCAAAATGAACATAATATATATATATATATATATATATATATATATAATCCTGAAGAGGTTAAAGCAGATAATTCATGGCAAGACAATGTGTACCATTCTGAAGAAGTATGGTTGGTTGTGTTCAGGCCTGAACTAATTGGAATAAACTTTAAGTTGTCTTTTTTGCAGGGCATAACTACGGATGCAGTCCATTTTAGTGCTGTTCTCATTTGCCTGCACCATTTATAAACACTAGGGTTTTTTCCCCCCCCCCTCTGCAGGTTATCCTGCTCTGTATTTCCTTTTCTTTTTTTTTTTTTTTTTTTTTTTTTTTTTTTTTTATGGTGGCTATTTAATTAGTGAAATGTAAATAGGGCCTAACACAGATGTTAGCAAATTTTGGCTTGGATTCTTTTTTTTTTTTTTTTTTTTTTTTTTTTAATTTCTTTCCTTTTTCTTGACAGCTTTTCTTATATAAATCTTGTTTGTTTATATATTGGTAATAAGCTTAGTAATTTTTAGAATTAAGAGTTTTTTACTTATATTTTAAAATATTGTTTGATCATTTAGCAAGCAATGAATATACATTTTCATTAAAAACATGTTTCATACTAGCATTTATAAAGGTTTTTTTTTTATACTAAAAACAGTAGAAATGCTTTTTTCTTAATTCGGCAATTTTTTGATCAGCATCTTCATTTTTACTATTCTCATTTTTAACTTATGCCTTCACCTTTATTTGTTTGATAACATTTTCAGTCTAATGATTTAGTATGTAGAGCCATGATAGGCTCTGTTTTAGATATGTAAAGGCTGTTCTGTCTAAAGACTGCTAAGCTTTTAAATATTTTAAACAGCATATGGCTCTATATAATCAGTTCAGTATTTTATTTTTCACCATTTGTTGCAAAAACTTTTGCCTAAATTACTTGATGCAAAGCTTGACAATGGTTCATTGTGGTCATTTTTTGTCTAAAACCTGGCTATTAATATGATTTAAAAAAAAATAAAAACAATAGCAACAATGATGATACTGATTATAATGAATTGCTGACTTATTAGAAAACTTCTTCACATAAATTTAGGACTTTTGTATAATTCATCTCATTCACCCTATATGTCTAATTCCACATGCATTCTGATTTCTGGCTGTGAAGAGTTTGCTTGCTACTTAGTTGACCTTTGAAAATTTTTGATTGATTTTTTTTATGATTTTGAGATTATGGCAATATGAGTTTTAATAATCCTTTACAAATCAACAAGGGGGAAAAGCACTTGACCTCGCTGAAGCAGGAAAGAAAAAAAAAGGCAAGTTGAGTGTTTTACTTTACTTTTTGCTTGTGCCTTTTTTTTCTTTCCATGGGTTTTCTTTCCTTTTCTTTCTTTCTTTTTATTTTTTTTTTATTTATTTATTTTTTTTTTTTTATTTTTATTTTTTTTTTGTTTTTAATGGGTGTGGTTGGTGGCTATTGTCTTTTTTCCCTTCTTCTTTAAGAAAAAAAGTATTCCTTGCTTAAAATAACAGTTCTAAATTTCTTCACAAACCCACAACCCTTGCTTGAATTTTTAGCTTAGGCCTGAAGAAATATTTGCTTTTGAGAAGAATAAGATTTACTGCTTCTTAGTTAAGTTCTTTCTCAGGCCTCTCTTAAGTTTCTTCATAAATCTCCTGAATGATAAATCAGTTTGGAAAATACATTAAATAACCTTTTTTTAAATTTCATCATAAAAAAAAAAAAAAATAAATAATAAAAGATAAATGTACTTTAGTGTAATTATTATTCCCGGCTGTCAAAATTTGGTTCAGCCATTTAGTAGAATGTAAGATTTTTAAAGTAATTTTCTTTTTCGTAAATCTGGAGATTTATTGAGTAACTTATTTCTTTTAAGAATTTGCCAAAGCTTAGTTTGATTGTTTATAATATAGAACTAACATTTTAGGGAAGTATACTATAATTTTCGATTTTTTTTTTTTTTTTTTTTTTTTTTTTTTTTCCCAGACTGTACACTCATCCTTTGTGTCCATAAGTTTATTAGGATTTGTAAATTCTCCAACCATCATAAGGTGGCATGACTTAATGCTTTGTTGCATATATCACTAGAAAATAAATTTGTTGCTATGACCTTGTAACAAAAACATTATATGTACTAAAAACTTTGAACACAAAACAATGAATGTAAAGTCAAACATTTTACTTGGTTTCCAATCAGTGTAGGTTCCTTTTGCTTCATTTCATGTTTTCAGCTTATGTTTCTCATCATTTTTCTAAAGAAAAGTGAACTATTTTCTTTAAAAATGTTATAGTGATGCAATATGTATCAGACCTTGAATTTATACAGTTTAATTTCAATATTCAACTTTATTATGCCTTTGATAACACTGCAGTTCAGTTAAATTTTATCATTTTGTGATTTGCACTAAATTCACTATTCATTGTAATAAATGGTTAGAGACATAATTGAATATTATTTAAACTACTGGATTTTTCTGTCCTATATTATCTGATATATAAAGTTTTGAGAACTACTTGTAATGAGTTTATTTTACAGAAAAAGATCTTTAGTTGCTTTTTTTTTTTTTTTTTTTTAAATTTTTTAGCTACATTGGAGATATGCTCTGTCAATAGTGTAAATTCTGATTCTCAAAACACTAAAAGTTTTTCAGTTTTCTTAAATATCTGATATTTGTTATCTAAAAATAATGTTTGTGAAATTTTCATATGTCCACTTTAATTGTTTTGAGAAAAGTGATATTTTTTGATATTTTTTTATCTATACATCTACACTAAGCCATTGTAAAAACAGCAGATAATGAAGAAAAATATATATATATATATAGGAATAAGGGAAGGGCTCTGGAAACAGAAACTATGCACACAAAACATCTTTTAAACAACAATAAATACAAAAAATGCCCCCACACTCCCTAAACAAACATGGTAACTTAAAAACAAAAACATGCCAAAAATATCACCAAAAATAAGGAAAACAGTACCGGCCTACAACAATAAACTCTAAAAACTGTAAACTTTGCCTGGAGAAGAAAATAGCTATAATAACTTTTCCAGACCAACACAAATTACAAAATAAAAGATCATATCTTTTCTCAAAGTACAAACATGAAAACAAATTTTTGCTTTATAACTTAAACATTAAAAACTAAAAAAACTAACATCTTGTAAAACATCAATAAGAAAATACAAATACATATATTATATACAATGCCGATAACATAATATCCTTAAAAAATATGAATAAACAAACCTTAAACAAAACAAATAAGATACCCTCTCCTGGCAAAAAATAAATAAGTAAATAAAAAATAAATAAAGGAAATAAATAAACCATACAAATACACACAAAGCTACAACAAAGTAATTTCAATAATAATCACTAGTGAATAATTACAAAATGCACTGAAGTAATTAATAATAAATAAATGTGATTTAATAGTTAACAAACAACCTTATACAATAACTATAAAACAATCATTTTCTGGTTCTAGTCAATAAACACCAGAATAATTTTAAATAACTGTTTTATTGTCTATTCAGTATCTGTTACAATAGCACAGTAAACAAGAAATACCCATAAGGCCCCAATAATTAACATATAAATAGTTGACCTATAATCCAGCCCACACATTGTGTTCAAGCACGAAACAGACTGTCACCACTCGCTGTTAACGCACGAGTCCATACTTCTTATATTTACACACACTGTATTCTGGATATTGAGCACTTTTACCCTATAAATATAGTATACCATAAAACTATTTTATCACACACACACACACACATACACATTCTTATAAATTAATTCAGTTAATTGGTTTATTGAACTTTTTTTAATAAAATGAAGGCTAAGCAACAATGTACTAAATGTTCAGGAAATATTAGTCCTAAAACAATATTGAATGATGTATTTGTGATTTGCAATGAAATTTATTACATATTCCTACTAATCATGTAAAATTTGAGATGTTTTCAGAAGTGTTACAGTGTGAATTCTTTTATTAAAGTGTTGGAAGAATGTTCAATTTTACATTTTATTTTTTTTTTTTTTTTTTTTTTTTGTGGGGGAATTTATTTTTTTGTTTATTTCTACAATTTTGTTACAGTCTTGCTATAGAGCGTACATTTAAGTTAAAAAATCCTTCTGTAGGCAGTAGAAAGTCACCATCAGTATGAAACATTATAAGAAATATAGATATCTTTAAGTGTAATGATGTTTGTAAATAGAATTATCTATATGTTCTCTAACTTGGCTAGCATGTATTTGTTTTGTGCTGTTTCTTTTGGTAAAAGTAAAATGATAGATGTTTGTTATTTTTGGTCTGATTTAAAACTAGCACAAATATTATGCAGCAGGATTGAAAAAAATTTGATTCAAACCTAGTCATATGCAAATGTCAAATCACCTTTGTCTATAAGGTTATTTAATAATAAATGACTTTCTATCTAATATAATAAACAATTTGTTGATGTTGTGCTGAAAGGTCTTGAGAAGGGGATTTTTTCCTCAGAGGCTATCAGTATATCTATATTTGTAGAAAACAAATCTTAAATATTTTCATGTCTAGTTTATTTAGTGTTGCTTTTCCTGTTCTTTTAAATGCTATTTCTGCCTTGCTTTAATCTTAAATTCTCCATTAAGAGGTGACCTTCTAAAAGTCATTTTTGTATCTTTTTATGCACATAACTCCATTTATTATTGTTTGCAAATTAATGATTGTTTATGAGCTCATCTGATAGAGATTAAACTTGACCTGTGGATCCTATTTAAGTATTCTTAAAACTAAGTTTGTTCCCTGTCTTTACGTTTGTAGTACTCTTCCTCTCCCCACACCTTATCCACAGTTGATATATTCCAAAACTTCAACAGATACCTGAAACTGGGAATAAACCCACCTTTTTTTTTTTTTTTTTTTTTTTTCCTTAACTCATACGTAAATTATGTAATGGATAGAAGATTTATTCTTACCCTAGATTTTAGCAGTATAAGTATATACATACATTTTTTTCTTAAGTAACAAAATAAGCCTGTTTCATTTAAAGGAAACATTTTCCAACTTCATTTTGGCATATCTGAATTGCCTGCTTCACTGCTCTTGTGCTCTGGGACTATTATTAAGTAGAATATGTGAACTGTCTATTTCTGAAGTTTACTGCAGATAACTGAAATTATACATTGAGTGAGTGAAGTCACTTTATAAATATCACCAACACAGTACAACATTGTTAATATTTATTAGTTAATACTTAAAGATTTATCTCCTGTATATGAAGATGAGCCAGTAAGTCTATAGCTTGACACATAGTTTTTATCTGAATTTCATGAAATTTTCAATCTATGTAATTAATATTCACCACTGCATTGCCTGGGAAGGAAATTATGTTGATAATATTTATTGTCACATGCTCTTAATTACAAATAATTTATGCAAATACAAAATGATGTTTCATATCTTTCAGAAAAGGATTTACTTGTAGTCAGTATATATGAAAATAAAATAAGATATGAATATGGTAAAATAAATTCCACTCTTTCAAAATAATTAGAGAAACCAGATGAACTAGAGAAAATACTGTCAATTTGAAAGTAAGCTATAAATGTTTCATGAGATTCTTGTAACATATAATGGAAACAAAATATTTTTTCTTATCATTTGTTTCAATGATGTGTATCTGTACCTATATAGAGTATGCAGTGATTAATCATATAAAGTTCAGTGTGCTGATAATCTAAAACAAGTTGATTTTATCATAATTTAAAAATGTAAATGCTTTAAAGAAGGTATTTGACTTCCTAATTCTTCTGTATTTCTTGATATCACTTTTAACTTTATTGATGCAAAATCTGATACATGTTGGTTTTGAAAGAAATGCTTGTAGTATCTCAGTTAAACCATATCAGAGAATGTTCCACTCTTCTACTTTTAAGTGTAGTAGGAGATTATTTCTGAACTGTATTCTTAGTTCCCAAATAAACTATATTTTGTAACTCTTATTCAAGAATGAAAGCTGAAATTTTAGGTCATTTGAACTGATGTGTAGTAATATTCTCTTATTGTATTCAATTTTCACTGACTCTGGTTCTTTAAGATATTGCTTTTTTTTTCTTTTTGAGCTTGATAAATACTGATGTACAGAAAAATAAGTAAAGATTTCTATGTCCTTACTTTCTATATTTTACATCACATTTTGAAAATTTTTAATGCATAAGTAGACACTCCTTGAGGATGCATAAATAAATGTCAAAATATGTAAATATGAAAATTATTTATTAACAGTTTTGACTCTTAAACA